CCAAAGCTACACAGAGAAACCCTGTTTCGGGAAAGAAAAAAAAAAAAAAAAAGATACTCGGAAGGGAATTGCTATTACCTAATGTTAGTCAATTAGAAATAAATTCTGGCTTTAACTCCCTTTTCTGTGATTTTATTTTCTAGCTCATGAATGACTTTTCATTAACAGAGACCCATCTCATGACACATCTATGAACATCCCATTGGAGGCTACCATCTCCTGCTAAGGGCATGGAAGTAAACTCAGAAACTGAAACAGATGCCTTCGCCCACAGATTCTAAAAGCAGAGGGTATTCATAAACCGCCCCACAAATTTGAGAGCATAGTGGGAAACAGGAACTGTTAAAAAAACTGAAATGTTACTGAAGTACTTCTTCCTCTTCCGGTGAGGGAAATTCATTCCTTTCTAAGAAGTTTGGTACTCAAAAAAAAAAACAAAAAAACAAAAAAAAAAAACAACCAAACAAATTAGAATTGGAATTTATGGTATCACAGCCCATTTAGGGGAAAAGATATTTACTAACAGATGAAAAGCCCTATAATGGTTCTCTGACTCCTCTCAAAAGTGTATAGGAATCGTTTCAAGGTAGGGGAAGAAAGGCATTTATTTTTCTGAGGCCATGTCTCAATCACATTTCAAGGTTTTATTTACACCTTTGGCTATATACATTATATAATACAACTATTTCCTGATATGTGAATCACACACAAATGGGAAAGAAAAAAAATCGGCCAACTATAGTTAGAATTTACTAGAATAAGAGGCTGAAATGATCACATACATTTTGAATAATTATATCACAGTGAACCATCAGATTTATGTACAAAAAGTTTGCTCCCTTTCAAGTGACAAGAGGCAGTTGAGAAGCAACCCTGCCCTTGTGAAGAGCAGAAACTGAGGAAGGGCTGGTATTCTAAAGGCACAGAAACAGCTAATAGACTGTCTTGGGAGTTGGGTAAAAAAATCAGTTTGGTAAAGAATACAAATGGGAGGAAGTTGTAATCATAAGCTTGAATGAAGTGTTTGAAATTAGCAAATTAAGAGTTAATAACACAGAGAGAAAGACCCAGAAAGAGAAAATTAGTTCAGAAGGGAAGAGGTTTTTAAAGAATTTTTCTTTTTTTGCTTTTTAGAGAGCAATAACAATTTGCATTTTAATTTGCAGGGATCAAAAGATGACATTATGTGAAGAACGGCAGTTTCATTGTTTTAGTATTTTATATTTAAATAAAAAACTCAATTTGTCTGAAATTTAGCAGTTACTATTGCTATGATGATAACACATATTAGACAAACTGGCAAGCAGCTATTTGCTTTTCATTAGCCTCTCATTATAATGCTTAAAAAGCCCATAACCCTTAGTTACCACCCACGTGTGAGGATTGGAGCTGGGATCCCTAGCATCCACATAAGTGCTGAGTGGGATGGCTTCCCACCTGTAATTCCAGCACTGGAAAGGCAGAGACCGGATGCTCAGAGTAAGCTGGCTAGTTAGATTAGCCCTACTGATGAGCTCTGAGTTTAGCTGGGAGAGAGGCCCTCCCTCAAGCAATAGGGTGGCAGCGATCAAGAAAGACTCCTGACATTAAACCTCTGTCCTCCTCTCTTGTCATGCACACCTATGCTAGCACACACACACACACACATGCATGCGCACGCGTGCGCGCACACACACACACACACACACACACGCATGCACACACATAACAAATATATAATTGTGAGAAAAAAGAAAAAAAACTCTCAGCGTTTTTAATATTTCAAATTCAGAGCAAGATCATAATTTTATAATGTGAAAATAAATGACCAGGCAGTCTGATCAGTTGTAAATTGGTCCTAACAGTTTTTGCTGGTGTCCTTCGATCTTGGGTTCCAGACTCAAGCAAGAAAATGTCAATGCAAAAAAAAAAAGGCAAATTCGCTGTTCCCTAATTCAGAATCATGTGTTAACATTAAAAACCACATGAAGTAGGCAAGCATGTGATATTCCTGTAATTGCTGAGGGGGGATTAGGGTCTAAATACTGAGACCCGGTCTCAATCAAAACAAAAAGCACTAGTCCTGGCACAGTCTATAGAATTTTAACTTCTTTTGAACTGCATTGGTACTGATTTATTATTTTTCTGAGGACAACTTCATGGTTCGGTAATACCACTATGTCCTGGATTTTCCAGGTCACTTCAGGTTTTGAATATTCTGTTTAATGTCAAATGACTTTAGTTTGTAAAACATGGTCACTGAATTTATAGAGTTACTGCCTTTAGCAGTATACAGTAATTCTATTTCTGGACCATGATTGTCAAGTTAAATAAAAGTTAAGTCCAGCCTGTGAATCTATCTAGTAAAAGGCTATCTTAGGATAATGAGACCATTTTAAAACTTTATGATTTTAAAAGCATGATTTGCACATATATAACTATAAAATTATGGATGGCTAATCATTCTTGCCATATAGAAAATGAAAATGTGCTTGAGAGTTATTGTGCTTATAAGACTCAAAAAAGTAACCCTAATGTATGTTTGTGTTAATTAAAAAGGATTGGGTGACTAGACCTTTGTTTCCAGACTGTAATTGATATTCTTGGTAAGTCAGAACTGAAGGGATTCACTGGCATTTGCGATGCTGCAGAACGATAATTACCTGAGAGCTCTAAGTTTTACTTTAATGAATTTGATTCATTAGCTCATGCAGAACCATGGCTATGTCGCGAACGGCAACATTTAAGTATTTGGGAACCCCCTCTGCTTTAATTACTATCCCTTGTAACAGGAGGTTTGTTCTAACTCCACTTTGAAGTCCATGACATCAGGAGGGGCTAGTTTAAAAGTTGCCTATGCTCAGAATGGCATTTCTGACTCCTAAAATTAACGGTGATTTCCCCCAAGTCTGCCAGTAGCGATCACTCTCCCTCCCACGTTCCCCTGCAGGTTGGAGAGTGTGAGCAGCCCGGGGATGCTGCTGCAAACCCAGTGGGAGAGGGAGATAGGACATTACCGGCGACACTTCACCGGCACCGTTGCTATGAGTGATTCACTCGCGTTTGGCACATGTGTGCCAAGGAAAGCTCCTCCCGCCGCTTCCTTCTCCGAGCTCTCCTCCGACTGTCTCCGGCGCTGTGGCCTTTAAGGAGAAGCGAGAGCAGGTGGGCACACAGCAGCTCGCCCAGCCCTCCTTCCCCCCCCCCCCCCGCCCCCACGGCTCCTTCCCTAATTTAGCAGTACTTCCGGCCGCGTGACATCATCCCCCGCACAGGGTGACGTGAGCGGAGGGTGACGTGTGTGCGGAGAGAAGCGCGCTGACGTTGCTATTTAAAGGTCCTCCTGCGGGGAGGATGGAGACACAGCGCGAGCACCCGGCGTGCGGAGCGGAGGAGGCCGCGGCGACCCAGAGCCAGCGCAGGAGCCGAGCGCGCTGCCCGCCCGCCGCCGCCGCCGCCGCCGGCGGCCGCTAGGGGAAGGGGAAAGAGAAAAGGGACGGACCGACGGACCGGCCGGCTCATTCCCTCCGGGCTGGTCCCCTCGGCGCCCTGGTCCGAGCCCGGGCCGGGCCCCGCCCCCGCCGCGCCCCACCTCCTCCGCCGGCCTGCGGCGGCGCCGGCGCTCCGCCCCCCCCCCACCCCCCCGAGCCGGGAGGGCCGCGCGCCCCGCCCCGCCCCGCCCCGCCCCCTCTCCCGCTCGGCTGCCGTGCTCGCCTCACGCCGGCGGCGGCGGCGGCGGCGGCGCGGACCGGGAAAGCGGCGCCCTCCTCAGCGGCGCTCGGTTCGGAGCCGCTCTGTGGAGGCAGAGGCAGAGGCAGAGACCGGGCGCCAGGCCGCCCCGGGGGCCGGGCGGAGGCTGCCGCTGAGGGGAACGTGAGGAGGCAGCGGCGGCCCGGGGCATGTGAGGCGGCGCGGAGCGGGGAGAGACCGAGCCCGGGGTGGGGGCCACGAGCCGCGGCTGCCGAGCCTCGGACGAGCCGCGTGCCTGCCTGCCTCCCTCGCCTGAGCGCGCGGCCGCCAGGCGCTTGGGTGTGTGTGGGGGGCGGGGGGAGGGCTGGGTGCCGGGGACGACGGCGCGGGGCTGGGTTCTCTGATTCATTCATTCTCCGCCGTCTGGAGCCCGAGGCCGCCGGTGCTGCGAGGAGAGGCGGGAAGAGGGGGCGGCCGCGAGCGGGGCTCCATTGTGCTCGGCGGGGGCCGGGAAGCCGAGGGAGGTGGGCTGGGGCCCCCCGCGCTGCTCCCCGGCGGCCGCTGCGCCCCCAGCTAGCCGCCAGCCTGGAAATGGCTCCGCTGCTGCTCCTCGAGAGAACGAGTCGATCCCCCCCAGCCTTCTCCGCCTGCTCTCCACCTCCTCTCTGCTCCGAGTCTTAGGAGGACGAACCTTCAGAGGACAGATTCCAATGTGGTGTGCCGTGCACATCGCGAGCGGCCGGGGTTTGCAAACACTGGGAGATTTTTTTCTATCGATTTTTTTTTTTTTTTTAATGTAAGCGAAGGGAGACAGTGGCATTGCTGCCTGTAGGATTTTTTATTTTTTTTTTTTTTTAAATTAAAGTGCACGTCGCGTTGGGTTGCACGCTCCACCCCTAGGGACCTGGTGTGGTGAAATTTGAACCCACCGCCTTAGCCCAGAGAAGGCCGAGTTACCTGGTTGCCTGGAGTGTCGAGGGGACGGGAGCGAAATGACCAGCGAACTCGTTTTTCATCAGACTCGGTGAAGCTGGGTTTTGCGTTTTCCTCCATGTACACCTGATTTTGTGGAATAGTTTGAGTGCTATATTCTCCGCGCAACCTTTTCATTTCCAAATAAGCAAATGTTTGGACGTTTTGGTATCAGCGCGAGTCAGATCCTTTTACCGACAAGAACTAACTGAATTGTCAGCGCCGTTGAATTACCTCCGGAAAAGATCTCGGGGGTGGAAAAGCACCTGCGAAATAACAGACGGAGAAAATTCCTTGGAAGTTATTTCCGTAGCCTAAGAGCAGAAACTTCAGAGCAAGTTTTCCTTGGGCAAGATGGGGTAAGGATTTTGTGCTTATCACAGCTTTAAATCTGTTTATACGTGTGTGAGTTGAGCGGTGGTGGCGACTGTTTTTAAATTCTACCCCTTGTTAAACGGGCACTACTTTAAAAAAATAGAGATTGTATTTGTATTGTTGTAGAGCGACACCAGAGGTCCTAATTAGAACGTGTAATGTTGTTTGTAACTCAGTTATCGTCTTATTAATGATCTGTATGGAGACAGGGCACTAGCCGACCCCCTACCTCTTAATTGGTCATATCGCTGTATAGGTTACCAAAATCTTGCCATCTTAGGTTTGGTTGACCGGTATCAAAGAGAAGAGCTGTCTACATTCTTCCAGTACTTAGTAGAAATAATCAGTTGCACAAAGGGACGATTGTAATGAGTAGTTAGACGACAGTCCTTGAAACCGATCCCTTGGAAGCTGTTGCCCGCACTGCCCTGTGTTTTATCCTTGAACATCGGAAGCTAAATGCACAGCGTTAGTTTACTGGGCGTTAAAACGCAAATCTCAGTGTCTCACTGTTGCGGTCTCCACAGTGTGGTTGCTGGAGAGAGAGAGCTTTTGGTTGAAGGAACTTGGTCACTTTTTCTGCCCTTCTCTTTTAAGCTCAGACCTTTGGCTTGTGTCAGCCGTGTCAGATTTACGTCTCCAACATAAGCCAGCCAAGAGTTTATTTTCCAAACTTTTCAATCTTAACACTGCAGCTTAATAAAATGACGGGAGCTCTTCTTTATTTAAGCTGGAAACCCGTGTTATAGGAGTGGTGATCTATTCATTTCTTTAGTGTGTTGTCCACGCTGTCTGCAAATTCTTCCTGTGGTCGAATTAACCGATAAATACGTAGTTGGGGGACCAGGTTTGGAATGATGGATTTTGAAATTCATTGTGATGGTTTATTAGGAGCACACACCTTAACGTTCTGGAGGAGTCCCTTTTTGTTCTGGCAGTTAAAATTTGAAGTTATTAGCTTATACAACTTTGAAAATGTAGGACACGTGTCACAGGAGTCCTTCCTCAGAAATTAATTAAGAGTTGCTAATTATATTTAATACTTAAATGACAGGGCTAAGAATGTAATTAAAATACCTTATTCTATTTCTGGTGCTCCTAGTAGCTTTAGTGACCTTCTGCAAATTATTTAACCTTTGTGGATGGACTGTATTCTCATGTGTAAAATAAGGAGTATGAAATTTTTTCCAACTTGTAAAAATGAATTTTCCCCCCTTTCTCATTTAATAGTAGTTGGCTTTTTTTCTTCTAAACTGTTTAAGCTCTTAAGCTAGGAAATAATGATGTTTGAAAATGTTTTGAATCAGTTGCACGAATTTTTAAATGAGAAAATTCTTAAAAGTACTAATATTGGAAACCTTTGAAGTATGCTTTCCCTTGATTATATGCAGGTCCACAGTTTAAAATGTGTTGTTTAAGTCATGTTGGAGTGTCACGTGCACTTGTACCTACACTCAAAATCAGGTGGCAGTTTTTCATCGAAAAGGCTGTGTTCTCCAGACTGGAGTGGCAGTGTCATGGAAGAGAATCAGTTTTTTGTGTTTCTTACACAGAACATGAACGCCCACTGTTTTACCAAGTGAAGAGGGAGATTAATTTAATACTAAGGGAGACTAGTGTTGGAAATATGAATCTAAGCTACTTACATGAAACACATTTAAACACAACATAATTTGTTTATAAACAACTCACTAGCCTTTTTGTGAAAAATATTTTTAAGGGACTGGAGAGATGACTCGGGGCTTAAGAGCACTTGTTGCTCTTTTAGAGGACCTGGGTTCAATTTCCAGCACCCACATGGTGGTTCACAACCCTCTGTAACTCCAGTTCCCAGGGTGCTGATACCCTTTTTTGACCACTGCAGGTGCCAGGCTTGCAAGTGGTGCTCACACATACATGCAGGCAAAACACTGATACACATAAATTAAAATAAAAAAAAGAATAAAATAAAATTTTAAAAATAACATATAAAATAAGGCTGTAATAGAGCCCTGACTGGTGAGTGCTATAATTTGAGTTTACCCCTTCAAAATTCAGGTGCCAAAACTTCATGGCCAATGTGATGATAGCTAAGTATTAAGAGATCTAGAAAGAAGGGCTAGAGAGATGGCTCAGCAGTTAAGAGCACTTATTTTCCCCAAAATCTGTTTGGGAATGTGACCCTTTTTATTGAGGGTGCCTTGGTTTGTCTGCATTGTTGAAAGAGGAAGAAATAAAGAGAACATCATACAGCAAAGGCATTTGCACAGGTTTCTACCCTTTGTAGGTGAATAAGCATAGCCATCCGGGCCTCTTTGAAAATAAGTTAATATTATATGACCTTGAAAGTTTTCCCAGGCAGTCCTAAATTGCCTTACGTGGACGAATATCCACAATTTCACGTGGATAAGGAAATTTATATATTGCAGATGGACTTTTGATGAATGTAAAGTTATAATAGGATTTACATTAGATTTAATTGTAGGTATAATTAAGGGGTAAAGGACTTGTTAAACTAAAATAGATGATCAGACAGGGAAGAATGAGCCCTGCCATACTAGTTTATGACCTGTGGAAAAGGAAGAGAACAGCTGAAACCAGCAGCTGGCCGGGTCTGTCAAAGTCGCTCACACTGTGTTAAACTGGAGTGAGGTCAGCTCGAGTATGGCTGTGCAAACATCGGTGTGTCAGACTCCTTACAAATAAAGATGATTGTATATGTAAGATGAAACCCACAAGAAGCTTCAGCATCTCAATGAGGGGTTCCTGCGCCCCCAGAAGTATACCACGATGTACTTAGTGAGTCTGGAGCTCTTTGAGAACACTTGAGAAGACAGCCCACATCGAGTCACTTCAGCCAGTTATTTTGAACTACTTTTTGTTTTTACTTAGTTTAGACTCTGTTAAGAGATAGTTATGTACAAAATAGGAGTTTCCCTACTAACGGATGATGAGATTTTTTGTTTGTTTTTCTGATATCTACCTGACTCTGCAAATTTTGAGCCTTTCCTTTTTGCCTTAAGCTCTTGAAGAATGGAAGTGGGTGCTGCTACATTGTTACCTGGGGTCGCTTCTTTGCTGAAAGATGAGAAACTGAGGCTGCATTTGCTTAAGGCTCTAGGGATGGTAGCAAAAACGTGGAAATGTCAATCCACCATCACAATAGGAGTGCACTTTGTAAAGGCAACCATCTTACTATCCCTGACCGTTTAAGTCCTCAGTTCTTTGTTGATTTTACCACACAGTCCGCACCAGTTGTGTGGCATGTACTCAGCTGAATGTTGTTGAGTTTATAGGTTAGAACTGGGTGTCATGGTTAAAGTAAGATGTGAAATGATGAAAGAGCAGTAAAGTGGGGCATTTGTGGAGGCACACAGTCTATTTGCTGCTCTAGGAAGGATAAAAAGACTTCGGAGCAGGTGAGTACAGCTAGGCCTTGTAGACAAATTAGAGGGCATTTAGGTAGAACAGTGATGGACAGAACCACTGCAGAAAAGCCTTGCTTGCATGGACTCCTTTGGATATAGAGGAGTGAGTCTCCAGAACTTTATCCAGGACCAGGTGAGAGCATTGTAGGCCAATGAAAGACTGTTATGCTATAGACTGGTCTTTAAAACGTAAGAGATATGACCCAGCCTGGTGTGGCATGCCCTGCACATCTGTTCCTTAGAAAACGGAGGCAGGAGGGTCTGAAGTTTGAGGCCAGTCTGGGCTGTAAGAAAGAGCCTGCTTTAAAAAAAAAAAAAAAAAAAAGCCAGACAAATTTAAAAATATAATATATGACCCATTGGCAGCCATACATTTTTATGCTGTGACCTAGTACTCTCATATTTAAATGATAAAATGACACTAAATAATATTCTTACTTTATGTGATGTAGTCTGATCGTTTCTATTCAATTATATTCCATTTCATTTTCAAGAAGAAATGATAGGGAAGACCCACCACTTAGATTTAACAAACTGTGGTAGAAACTGGCAGTTTGAAAAAACGTTCTTCCTGGTGGTATGATGGGAACCATTTTGGGACTATAGAAACACCAAGCTAAAACAATGAACTCTGCTGGGTACAGGAAGTGAATAATTGGACAGGCACTGGGAAGTTCCGACATGGAGAGGGAGTGGTTGGGAAGTGTGTCATGGCCATTAGAGTGGGGCTTTAGAACTACAGTTTTCAAGTTCAGAGGTAGAAGTGGTGGAAACTGCATGGTGTGCTCAAAGAGAAGTCGGCACTCACCATACTGAGGGGGCTGTGTGAGAATGAGCTGGAGAGTTAACAAGAGAAACTGACTGTCCTTGTACTGTGTTGCTTTGTGTTACTGGCAGTTAAGATTAAAAGCCATTAACATCTCAGGAGATCAGATCTCTGTTCTGCCATTTGAGTTTTCTCTCTGTCTTGGATATTGCTAACTGAATAGAACAGGAAAATCAATCCCAAATGTGTAGTATTATCTGGAATCGTGAGTTCCTACTATAAGGTTTAAGTGACTGTTTTAGGTAGCCCTAGTGTGTGTGGTTAGGACCTGTCTAGTCAGGTGTACTTGCAGGCTTTTGTTTGTGTTGCTTGTTTTTTAATACCTTAGCGTTTGTGGCTCATACACTTCATGGTGACATTGCAGTTTACAAGATACATTGTTTGTAGAAGAAACCAAGTTTTCTTGGAGGTCAGGAAGACTTTCATTTTTAAATTTTCTTTTTAACTGAGAGATTCTGAGGTATTGTAAGAGTTCAAGTTAATTACAGAAGAACTTGTATGTAATAAGGGTAATTGTAGGTAGGTTTAATCTGTGTACAAGAATTGAGAATGAAACAAACAAAAAAAATCAGATCTTTTTTGTTCTTGAGACACAGGGTCTTGCTAAGTAGCTCAGATTGGCCATCCCAGAGTACTGGCATTACAGGTGTATACCACCACACCCCATAAATGAATGGTATTATAAGAGTATAGGTGAAACTCAACAACGAAACCCAGTCAACAGTGTACGAATAGAATTGTGTATCTAGAA